GGAGAAAAAAATAGACACAGACTCCAGCTTTTTGTCCTAAGATTCTGAAATTTGGGAACTCTAAATTCATATCCTAAGTTTAACGATTTGTAGTATCATATATTCCCTAGCAACCTCCTGAACTAGTTCTCTTAACTTGTCTATGCGAAGCATTGCCTCTAGGCCTTTTGTTGACTTAGTTGCTGTTTTTCTGGGCATTTTTAAAGACCTGGTGGCCTGTCACACACAGTACTTAGGTGTAGGAAATATATGCCAGTACTTTCTGACTGATTTTTAATGCCTTTCTCAATGATGTCTTGCATTTTGCTGGCCTTTTTGCTTAACGAATTTGTTTTATGAATTTGTTGCCACAAGGCAACCATAAATTCTATGGATTGAATGGCTTTCATTTTCTAGACTTTTAATCTAGAGAGGAACAAATTAATTTAACAGGCATTTATTGGATACTTGCCTTCTTCCAGGCACTGCATGTGGCCCTAGAAGTTTAAAGATGAATGAAGACTGCCTCTGCCCTCACAGAACTCACAATCTAGTAGAAGAGTTCAAATAATTTTTTTAAAAGACATAACTGCTTATAAAAATACATGCTCTCAGACAGAGAAAGATGGCCTAACTTTGTAGGCTATCAAGAATAATCAGAAAATCTCCCCCCTTCAAATTATATAAAAGTACAAATCCCAGTTCTTTTTGCAGCATTTGAAAATATAAAATAACAAGAAGGTACAAGTCTGTAATTGCCTTTGAGCTCCAGTTCAATGTAAGCCATGTCCTCTTAACCACTTTCTTATAATAATGCATTAGTTCTTCTTAACTGCTTAAGAGTTTGTGAACATTTCTTTTTCTTTGCAAATTCCCCCAAAGCTCTGGTGCATTGATTTGTGGTAGTCCAAAACGACTTTTCTATAAATATCATTTTTAATTTAAACATATTAATCCCAGACAGTGGTATCACACTTAGTTTCTGCTTTACTCTTATGGAAGATAAGTCTTTCAAGTACAGCCTAGTGGCTCTGCACGAATTTCATGACCTGCATTTCTTAGTAGCTACTTTGCCTTTAGCATCTTTTCTGCTTGATGAGTTGATAAAAGCTTGCCCTAGTTTCTTGAAAATGTTTTACAGCAATAATTCAGCCTGCATTTATTCTTTCTTATTCCTTCCTTGAAGATTAAAACTATTTAGTACATTCATGTTTGCTTTTCTGTAGTCTTCAGTTTCAGGGAAGATTTTCTTCCCTATCAACCTTTTGATAGGTCCTCTGCAGAACCAGAGATGTCTCTTAATTTTCTCTTTATAAAATCAGAAATTATAATCTGATAAACTGATGTTTCAATATATTCTCTCTCTTATGGGTGCTTTTCCTATTGTTCTGAGTTTGAGTTTCCATTACTAATGCTATGGTACTGCCTTTAACATCTCATGCTATATTTTTGGTCAATTTCATATCACTTGCCTCTTTTGAGGATTATGGAATAGTCTTCTGAGTTATTGATTTATCTGGGTTGTTATTGTTTTGGTAAATTTTTTAGAAATATGTTATGACAATTTAAGAACCTGAAAGGTCCATTTAGATTGAAGGCTGACATTTTTTTTTCCCTTAATATTCAATGGGGTTACAAAAATACGCTTGATTTTAATTATTCTTGTATATTTCTACTCTTCTTAAAACTGATATAGTGTGTTTCACTGAAAACTTTTCTCCTCAACCAATGTGTTGCCAAATCTATTATCACATAATCCGTGACAGAAGAGAAATCTAAAAGTAGTGGCTACTTCTTGGGAAAAACAAACACTATCTGGAAGGTCATTACATCTGCTTAAAAAATATTTTAAAAATTTTCATGCCACTTATTACTTGTTTTCAGGTTATAATACATGCCTATTATAGAAAATTTTGAGCATATAGAAAAGTGTGAAGAAGAAAAATGTAAATAGTAATTCCACCACCAGTAAGGCCACCTGTTATGTCTGTAAAACTCCAAATTTTCTTGAAGTCTTAGTCTAGCAACCTCCTACCCTTTTCTAAGTCCCCCTCAATAGAATGTTCAGGACAGTCAGAGTCAAAGACTGACTTTAACTGCAAGGGTCCTTAGGATTTTTATGGAAGGGATGGAGCTGTAGGAAAAACCTACAAATTGCTCCAGAGATGACATCTTGTTCTTATTTAGCTTTCTTTGAGTCATTAACAGTCGGGCGCCACTGGTGCTGAAACTTATCATTATTATGACCACAAATGGGTTAATGCCCAAACAAAGCTATATTCTTGGGGCTAGTTCCCAGCTCCACCACACAGATCCCAGCAACAGCACCTTCCAAGTCCCAAGATAATGCTCTACAAATAAAGAGATGTCAAATGTTCAGTGTGGACTCAAAATTCTCTTCTTTTATTTGGAAGCTTCCAGTTGCTAGCAAGATAGAGCAAAAGGAAAAATAAATAAATAAAAACCAAGCCAACAAACCCTAAAAAAAGAGGCTGTGTGGTTTAGTGGTCAGACCACTATCCTGGATGTTGGGATAGCTGAGATCCAGTTCCAGCTCTCCCACTGACATGATAGATGATTAGACAAGTCACTTTTGTAACTCGTGCCTCAATTTCCCTACTTAGAAAAGGGAGACATGTCTTAGAAAGTTTTTATGAGGACAAATGAAATTATCTGCAAATAGTTTCAGGTTGCTTGGGAATAAAATAAAATTATCATCCTTAATAATTACTATCTTATTACTCTATTAATAATATAGCAATAAGTCACGGGTATGAAACTGCTATACCCTCAAGCTGCATGGGGGGAGCAGGAAACAAGGCAAATTTTTTTTTTTTTTGAGACAGAGTCTCGCTTTGTTGCCCAGGCTAGAGTGAGTGCCATGGCGTCAGCCTAGCTCACAGCAACCTCAAACTCCTGGCTCAAGCAATCCTCCTGCCTCAGCCTCCCAAGTAGCTGGGACTACAGGCATTCGCCACCATGCCCGCTAATTTTTTCATATATAATTAGTTGGCCAATTAATTTCTTTCTATTTATAGTAGAGACGGTCTCGCTCTTGCTCAGGCTGGTTTTGAACTCCTGACCTCGAGCAATCCGCCGCCTCGGCCCCCAGAGAGCTAGGATTACAGGCGTGAGCCACCACGCCCAGCCGCGGCAAATATTTTTAAATCAAATTTGCAGGACTTGACAGTAAATAACAAATTAGTAGCCGGGCGCTGTGGCTCACGCCTGTAATCCTAGCTCTCTGGGAGGCCGAGGCGGGCGGATTGCTCAAGGTCAGGAGTTCAAAACCAGCCTGAGCAAGAGCGAGACCCGTCTCTACTATAAATAGAAAGAAATTAATTGCCACTGATATATATATAAAAAAATTAGCCGGGCATGGTGGCACATGCCTGTAGTCCCAGCTACTCGGGAGGCTGAGGCAGAAGGATTGCTTGAGCCCAGGAGTTTGAGGTTGCTGTGAGCTAGGCTGACGCCATGGCACTCACTCTAGCCTGGGCAACAAAATGAGACTCTGTCTCAACAAAAAAAAACAAATTAGTAAATTCATTACCTCAAGATACTAAACCCTGCTCCTACTTTGGCTCTGTCCCTTTATCCTTACCACATCCAAACTCAGAGTGACTCACAGGAGCCTAGAATTCAGACACATATACAATTTTAAGAGAAAGGGAGAATTAGGAGGTTTGAGGCTCCTTTCTGGAGGATGCTAAGAATAGGCCACTCAGAACACAAAGAGAAGAACCTCCTCTTTCCTTTTCCTCCTAGTGTAGGTGGTCTACTGGTTTTCCAGGCATTCCTTTGATAGCTTGATTTTTGTTTTCTTTTTCTTTTACGATGAAAACCTCACCTTGTTGGAAGGGAAGGGCACTAACTAAAAACATGCAGACAGAGTGGCTTTTTCTGCTAGGTTTGAACTGTGACAAGTGCCACAGACCTCTGACCTGTTATTGGGAGTGGAAAGGAGCAAAAGGAGAAAGATTTGGGAACTTGAAAACCAATCAGGCCTGGCACGGTGGCTCATGCCTGTAATCCTAGCACTCTGGGAAGCCGAGGCGGGCGGATTGCTTGAGGTCAGGAGTTCGAAAGCAGCCTGAGAAAGAGCCAGACCCCGTCTCTACTATAAATAGAAAGAAATTAATTGGCCAACTAATATATATAAAAAAAATCAGCCGGGCATGGTGGCGCATGCCTGTAGTCCCAGCTACTCGGGAGGCTGAGGCAGTAGGATCCTTTGAGCCCAGGAGTTTGAGGTTGCTGTGAGCTAGGCTGACACCATGGCACTCTAGCCTGGGCAACAAAGCGAGACTGTGTCTCAAAAAAAAAAAAACACAAAAAACACAAAAAACAAAAAACCAATGAATACTCTCTCCTCTTAGAGAAGAGAGCAATTGGGCATTGAGGATGGTAATAGGTGCCCACGTTTCTGCTTTCCCTCAAGGAGTAAAGTGTCTTTGTAGGAAAATGGAAAGACACTTGGGAAGAGTACTAAATAGTAAGGCATAGGAATAGAAGGAAGAACTAAAGATAAAGAGGAATTTGACAGGAAATGGCAATTATCTCACAGAGGACTTAATAAGCACCTTTTGTGTGTCCAGCCCTGCCGTAGGCAGAAAAGACACGTCCCTGACCTCTAGAAGTAGCCAAGATATACGCATGTGAAAGCACTCTGTAGCAATTTAAGATAGTAAATATTAAAGAGATAAAAATAGCTAATGGGATACTAAGTATTCGTTGGGGTTCAGGGGGTATTATTGTGAGTTAGGATAACAGCTGCAGAAAGCAGGAATAGTTATGAAATTCAGAAATTGCGGATATGGATGGCTGACAGTGATTCTTCGACACCGGGAAATATGACAGATTCAAAAGAATGCTCCACCTCAGATTCCTCTAAAACCAAGTCCTCAAGAATGAGATTCCAAAGAAACCTCTACCACCGCGAAGCGACCGCTCCCGGAACTTGTGTGGCCAGCTCCGCTTTTCCATACGGAGACTGTTTGTGTGACACCCCCTCCGCCTCCTGCCTCCCCTCCCGCCGCGTGGATGCCATGGCAACGAAAAGAGACGGTGACCTGGGTTCCGGAAGCCGAAGAGAGCCTTGAAGCTACCTGGGTCAAAGGATGCTGAGTCCCGAACGCCTAGCCCTGCCGGACTACGAGTATCTGGGTAGGAGCTTCCTTCAACTTTGAGGAAGGAAAGACGTGAAGACGAATTAGGCCATGGTCCGGGAGGAAGCAGGGGGTGGGGGCGGGGTCTGAATGGGATCGGTCGAGGTGTAAGGAGGAGGGGCGGAGAGGCGGGGGTTCCAAGGCCTGAGCCTGAAAGGCCGAGCAGGAAGGGAAAAGCATCTGGGAAGTAAAGAATGATCTGAAGTGTACAGACTGGAACTCAGGCAATGTGGATTTTATTCAAAGTGTATCAGTTTGGACTTAAGGATTTGAGGCCCTGTTGGGGAATTATATATGTGCTTAGTGGAGTAAGTAATCTTGGAACCTTCAATGCCCCAGTCAGTCATTCCATGAATAATCATTTTACCGTTATAGTGGCAGCTCACATCTTGAGCTTTTCTTTTTCATTAGGCACTGTATGCTGAGCCTTTTATGTGCATTATTCCTTATATGAACTTCTTAACAGCCCTAGGAGGAGTTACTGTGTTTTCTTCAATTTTTACAGATGGAGAAACTGAGGCTGAAGAGGTAATTTACATAAATAAGGCCACACAGCTAGAAAATGGTAGCACTAGGATAAGAACCAGATTTGCCCATTCCAGAACTTGAGCTCTTGACTTAGTTCTTTTTTTTTTTTTTTTTTTGAGACAGAGTCTAACTCTAGCTCACAGCAACCTCAAACTCCTGGGCTCAAGCAATCCTGCTGCCTCAGCCTCCCAAGTAGCTGGGACTACAGGCATGCGCCACTGTGCCTGGCTAATTTTTTCTATATATATTAGTTGGCCAATTAATTTCTTTCTATTTATAGTAGAGATGGGGTCTCACTCTTGCTCAAGCTGGTTTTGAACTCCTGACTTTGAGCAATCCGCCTGCCTCGGCCTCCCAGAGTGCTAGGATTACAGGTGTGAGCCACTGCGCCAGGCCTTGACTTAGTTCTTTAGGTAAAACTGTTATCTGTAGTATTTTAATGAACACCAGTCAGTATGTAACATATGTACTGGATGAAAAAAGGCACACACATACACATATATGCACAAAGATACACTTTTTCTTTTTTTTTGAGACAGAGTCTTCTCCCTTTGTCATTCTGGGTAGAGTGCAGTGACGTGCTCATAACTCACAGCAACCTTAAACTTCTGGACTCAAGGGGATCCTCCTGCCTTAGCCTTCCTAGTAGCTGGGACTACAGGCCCACATGCCACCACACCCGGCTAATGTTTCTACTTTTTGTAGAGAAGGGGGTCTCCCGCTCTTGCCCAGGCTGGTCTCGAATTTCTGACCTAATGTGATCCTCTTGCCTCCCCACTTCAGCCTCCCAGAGTGCTAGGATTACAGGTGTGAGCTACTGCGCCTGGCCCACATACACATTTTAAATGTCATAGATTTTATTTTTTTTAGAAGAGTTTTAATTTTACAGAAAATTGAGCAGATGGTACAGAGAGCTCTCTTCCCCGCTCAGTTTCCCTATTATTAACATTTTGCATTAGCTGGTACATTAGTTGCAATTGATAAACCAATATGAATACGTTATTAACTAAAGTACATAGTTTACTTTAGAGTTCATTTTTTGTGTCGTACAATTGTATTGTTTTTGACAAATGCTTAATGTCATGTATCCACTATTACACTATCATACAGAATAGTTGCACTGCCCTAAAAATTCTCTGTGTTCCACCTATTCATCCTTCTCCCTCCCCAGAAACCCTTGGCAACCCATGATCTTACTGTCTTTAAAGTATTGTCTTTTCCAGAATATCACATAACTGGAGCCATACAGTGTGTTACCTTTTCAGATGGGCTTCTTTCACTTAGAACAGGCATTTAAGTTCCCCCATGGTTTTTTGTGGCTTTATAGCTTGTTTCTTTTTATTGTTGAGTAATATTCCATTGTATGGATATACCGTACATATTTTTAAATGGAAAACAATTCTGGTTTAAATTTTTGAATTGGTAATATGAAAACTTGATTAAAACAATTTAAAAAAATATCCCATTCCAGTAGCTATAGCTAAAAAGATTTTTTTAAATTAAATTTAATTAATTAATTAATTAATTTGTTTTTGAGACAAAGTCTCACTCTGTTGCCTGGGCTAGAGTGTCATGGCATCAGCCTAGCTCACAGCAACCTTAAACTCCTGGGCTCAAGAAATCCTTCTGCCTCAGCCTCCCAAGTAGCTGGGACTACAGGCATGTGCCACCATGCCCAGCTAATTTTTTCTGTATATTTTTTTAGTTGTCTAGTTAATTTCTTCCTATTTTTAGTAGAGATGGAGTCTCACTCTTGCTCAGGCTGGTCTTGAACTCCTGAGCTCAAAGGATCCACTTGCTTCAGCCTCCCAGAGTGCTAGGATTACAGGCGTGAGCCACTGTGCCCAGCTCAAAATTTTAAATACAAAGAAGTTTATAATAAAAAGTCTCCTTTCACTCTTATCTCCCCATCTGTCCAGGTCCAATCCACCCTCAGGCCTCCTACAAGTAACTACTATTCCTGGTTTCCTGTGTATCCTTCCAGAGTTTATTTTATTATGTACATAAGGGAACACATAGTGCACATTTTTTTCATTTAGTATATCTCAAAGTAATTTCTGTGTCATTAGAGAGCTTCCTCATTCCTTTAAAAATGTATTCTTGTGTGTATTGTGTTTAAATAATTTATGTAACCAATCCTGCATTGGTAGACAGTTAGTTGTTAGCCTTTGGCTATTACTAAACATGCTGCAGTGAATAACCATCAATTTTGTTCCTTGTGAGTGTATCTGCAAGGATAAATCCCATAAAGTGGAATTGGTCGATCAGGGGCATGTGCATTTGAAATATTGATAGATGTTGCCAAATTGTTCCTTCATAGGGGCTATGCCATTTTACATTGCCACCAGCAATGTAAGAGAATACCTCTCTTGCCAACAAAATAGATCAAACTTTCGGATTTTGGCAATCTGTTAAGTAACAAATAGTCTCAGGGTAGATTTAATGTGCATTTCTTTTATGAAGTTGAATGTCTTTTCACCAAGTTTAAGGGCTATTTGGTCTCCGAAAGGTATATACACACATATATATACATAAACATATATACCTACATATCTATACATGGAGAGAGTTTAAGACAGTGACTACAGCCAGGCATGGTGGTGCATGCCTGTAGTCCCATCTACTCGGGAGGCTGAGGCAGGAGAATTGCCTGAGCCCAGGAGTTTGAGGTTGCTGTAAGCTAGGATGACGCCATGGCTCTCTAGCCCGGGCAACAGAGTGAGACTCTGTCTCAAAAACAAACAAACACTGTAATCCTAGCACTCTGGGAGGCCGAGGCGGGCGGATTGCTCGAGGTTGGGAGTTCGAAACCATCCTGAGCGAGACCCCGTCTCTACTAAAAATAGAAAGAAATTAATTGACCAACTAAAAATATATATATACAAAAAATTAGCCGGGCATGGTGGCGCATGCCTGTAGTCCCAGCTACTTGGGAGGCTGAGGCAGGAGGATCGCTTGAGCCCAGGAGTTTGAGGTTGCTGTGAGCTAGGCTGACGCCACGGCACTCACTCTAGCCAGGGTAACAAAAGTGAGACTCTGTCTCAAAAAAAAAAAACAAAAAAAACCACAAACAAACAAAAAGACAGTGACCACATTCATTAATCAGCTAAAAGGGAATATTTATATCACAGATAATTTTGTATCCAATGAATAACAATATCAGTGTCTAGCAGTACCTATATTTTTGCTAAAGATTTTATTAATTTTATCTCATTTACCTAGTACTCAATGAATCTATGAAATATTTGAAAAGCCTACTTTATTCAGTTCCTTGAGTGTTTGCTCTTTGAATTATATGTCTCAAAGGCTTGACATATTTGATATACTGGTGCTTTGGTGAGTAGAAGTTGGTGGTCCCTCCATAAAGTGGCTTTCCCAGGAATGCTAATTCAGTGGCAATGATGACAATGAATCTACAAATAGAAGTCTCAGGTTGGTTGAAAAAGCTTCAGTGGAGTCCAACCACCCTTAATACTTGAATCCTGGACAAATGCTCCTTCATGCTCTGTTGCATATTTGTCTTAACTCCCTGTCTTAACCACCATCTGGAAATTCATACTGCCCTTAGCACAGTCATACTACTCACTGGCTTCCTCATGGTTCATCAAACCATATAACTCTGCTGAAATGTATTTGTTTTTAGTTGAGAACCACCTCTGTCTATTATAGTTTAGTCTTTCTTAGAGGCATGCTGTTTTGAAGCATTCACTGTCAATTTAATGACCACTTAAAACCACTCCCTAGAGATTAAACTGATAAAATATTTCCTGATTTAAAATTTTAAATACCTGTAAATTTTAAAATTTGTTTTTGTTTTGTTCTGTTTTTACAAATTATGATGCCACTTGAATGTGTACGCCTAGAAAAGAAAATACATGTAGAGAAAAGAAAATTGCAGAGACTGGAAAGCCCTAGGCATTCATTGAAACAGAATAGCTAAAGCTGAATACCCTTTGGTAAGTGTATCTGGAGACCTCTTTTTAGGATTATGGTATGAATTACAGGGATATCTGTTCAATGAATATCTATAGATATACTTTTCTACCTGCTAGCCAGGGATTGTATTTGCCTTTTTGACTATTAGTGAAGAAAACAATCTTTCATCATGTTGGGTAAACTAATCCTTTCCCCACTGACTTTGTGGATTAGGAACCTGTAATCATGGCCTGGCATGGCTTAAGAGCTTAAGATTGTCATTAAAGTATAGCTCAATGATGTTCATGTCTGCAGTCATCAGAATGTAGTGATAAAAATTGTTAATGCCCAGGCCTGAAGAGAGAGAGGAAGGTCTGGTAAGGAGGTGAAATAAATATAGAGCTCTCTGTGTAAGACCCATAAAAGATTTCCAGCCTTATGAAAGCTACTTATTGGAAGCTTCTGCCAGAGGCTGAGGTGTGTCTCTGTATGGTTGGGTGTGTAGAGCTCTCTAGAGCCGAAGGGCAGCCTCTTCTGGTCCCAGGTTTGCCAAAC